TTTTTTAATTAAACATGATTTTCATTAATAAAAGCTATAATTAAATTGGCGATGATGGAGCTTCTACTATTGGTACAGTACTTGGTAACTGCAAATTCCTAACTAATCTCATATTTTAATTTAAGTAAAATTATTTTATATTTATTTATTGAACACTAAAAAAGTTTAAATTATTTTATATATTTTGATTTAAATTAAAAACAAATTTAAATACTTAATAAATTGATTTATTTTATTTGAAAAGTGGTAATGAAATTGGTGATAAAGGAGTATAAAATATTGCATTAAGCTTGAGTAACTGCACTTAACTTAAAAATTTAGCTTTTAGCTCAGAGTAAATTTTATTTATTACTTTTCAAAAACAAAATGTTAAAGTTTTTAAGTTTTTATTTAAAATATCTTTATTTTATAAGTAATGATGAGAAGTTTCTAAAATCCAGAGAAATTATCAACTGTAAAAATATAAAGTTATTGAATATATTTATCAAGTAATTACTTTTTTTTGTTTAAAATTAGATAATTTTAAGTAAAATTTTTTTCATTATCTAAAAAATAAATTTATATTTATTATTAAAAGTAAATTGCCTTAATAAAGAAAAACATAAATCAAAAGATTAGCTCAAAAAATAAAAAGATTAGTAAAACTAAAAATAGATTGAATTTACTAAAATCAATAATTTAATATTTATTTATTGATAGTATGATTAAAAATAATTGATTAATAAATAATTAATAAACATGGTTTTTTAATATTAAATGTAATTATTTATTTTTTATATCCATTTTATTCATTTTTTAATTTATACTTCTTCTTTATAATTTTTTCTAATATGACTAACTGTTCATTTCTAATTCCTACTATATTTTTAAGTGTATGTATTAAATACAAATATTAAGATTAAATAATGAATATTATATTAATTTTTCTGTGATATCTCTTCATAAAAGCAAATTTATAAATTAATATTTGATAATTATTTAATTATTAAATTTTATTTGTTCTTTTCTTCCATTTATAATTTATTAAAATCCATCCATAAATTGATTGCTATTCAATATTTTTGAAAAAAAAAATAAATGATATAATAGATTAACGAATATTACAAATTAGAAGAAGTAATTATTTATTTTTTTATTAATATCATTTAAATTTATATTTATTTATAAAAAAAGTTTATAAACTCTTCGCTTTTATCTCATTAGGTTCTCCATATTAATCTGAGGTATATTGTATTAATTAATATTATTTCTATTATTTATTAATATTTTTTATATATTTAGCTTTCAATTTATTAAAATAAATAATTTTTATTATAGAAATTATTATCATTACTTATTAATTTTTATTAAAACAAAAATTATTTAGCTATCTTTACTTAATATTCATTTAAATTTTTATTATTTATTATTCTTTTTTTATTATTTGATATTTTTTCTTTATTTTTTGCTATTAAAACTTAAACTTAATAAAAGCAGTTTATTTATTTTAAGTTAATTTCAAACATTAAAGCTCTTTTAATTTATTTTCCTTTTTCTTTTTTTTTCATTCTTTTTTAATTTACTAATTATTAATTAATCTATCTTATTACTTCATATTTTTTCTTCATTTTTCCTTCTAATTAACTACTTAATGATATATTTTTTCTTCAATATTTAAAAAGTAAGAATTAAATTGGTGACGAAGGTGCATCAGGCCTAGGTTCTGGTTTAGCAAATTGCATTAATCTCTCAAATTTGACACTTCACCTTGGGTAAAAACAGTTTATTTATTTTGGATTGTGATATTTTTAATTATAAAAACAATTAAAATCAATAAAGCTCTTTTTTCTTTTTCTTTTTATTGTGCTTACTTTTTTTTTGTTCTTTCTTTGTTAATTTAACTCATTCATCATTTTATTTTCAACTTTTGCTTTTATTATTAATTAATCTATCTTATTATTTCATATTTTTTCTTCATTTTTTCCTTCTAATTAACTATTTAATGATATATTTTTTCTTCAATATCTAAAAAGTGGAAATTAAATTGGTGACCAAGGTGCATCAGGGTTAGGTTCTGCATTAGCAAATTGCATTAATCTCTCAAATTTGACACTCAATCTTCGGTAAAAACAGTTTATTTGTTTTGGATTGTGATTTTTTTAATTATAAAAACTAATTAAAAACAATAAAGCTATTTTTTCTTTTTCTATTTATTGTGCTTGATTATTTTTTGTTATTTCTTTGTTAATTTAACTCATTCATCATTTTATTTTCAACTTTTGCTTTTATTATTAATTAATCTTATTTCATATTTTTTCTTCATTTTTTCCTTCTAATTAACTATTTAATGATATATTTTTTCTTCAATATTTAAAAAGTTCCAATTAAATTGGTGAAGAAGGTGCATCAGGCTTAGGTTCTGCATTAGCAAATTGCATTAATCTCTCAAATTTGACACTTGACCTTGGGTAAAAACAGTTTATTTGTATTAGATTGCGATATTTTTAATAATAAAAACTAATTTAAAACAATAAAGCTCTTTTTTCTTTTGCTTGCTTTCTTTTGTTCTTTCTTTGTTAATTTAACTCATCATTTTATTTTCAACTTTTACTTTTAATTTTAATTAAACTTATTGTTTCATATTATTTCTTCATTTTTTCCTTCTAATTAACTATTTAATGATATATTTTTTCATAAATATATAAAAAGTGAAAATTAAATTGGTGACGAAGGTGCATCAGGCTTAGGTTCTGCATTAGCAAAATGTATTAATCTCTCAAATTTGACACTTAGACTTAGGTAAAAACAGTTTATTTGTTTTGGATTGTGATATTTTTAATTATAAAAACTAATTAAAAACAATAAAGCTCTTTTTTCTTTTTCTTTTTATTGTGCTTACTTTTTTTTTGTTCTTTCTTTGTTAATATAACTCATTCATCATTTTATTTTCAACTTTTGCTTTTATTTTTAATTAATCTATATTATTATTTCATATTTTTTCTTCATTTTTTCCTTCTAATTAACTATTTAATGATATATTTTTTCTTCAATATTTAAAAAGTGGAAATTAAATTGGTGACGAAGGTGCATCAGGCTTAGGTGCTGCATTAGCAAATTTCATTAATCTCTCAAATTTGACACTTAATCTTCGGTAAAAACAGGTTATTCGTTTTGGATTGTGATATTTTTAATTATAAAAAGTAATTAAAAACAATATAGCTATTTTTTCATTTTCTTTTTATTGTGTTTCTTAATTTTTTCCTTCTAATTAACTATTTAATGATATATTTTTTCTTCAATATTTAAAAAGTTAAAATTAAATTGGTTCAATGGGTGCATCAGGCCTAGGTTCTGGTTTAGCAAATTGCATTAATATCTCAAATTTGAAACTTCACCTTGAGTAAAAACAATTTATTTGTTTTGGATTGTGATATTTTTAATTATAATAACTAATTGAAAACAATAAAGCTCTTTTTTCTTTTTCTTTTTCTTTTTATTGTGCTTACTTTTTTATTGTTCTTTCTTTGTTAATTTAACTTATTCATCATTTTATTTTGAACTTTTGCTTTTATTATTAATTAATCTAACTTATTATATCATATTTTTTCTTCATTTTTTCCTTCTAATTAACTATTTAATTATATATTTTTTCTTCAAAATTTAAAAAGAGAAAATTAAATTGGTGCAATGGGTGCATAAGGCTTAGGTTCTGGTTTAGCAAATTGTATTAATCTTTCAAATTTGACACTTCACCTTGGGTAAAAACAGTTTATTTGTTTTGGATTGTGATATTTTTAATTATAAAAACTAATTAAAAACAATAAAGCTTTTTTTTCTTTTTCTTTTTATTGTGCTTGCTTTTTTTTTGTTCTTTCTTTGTTAATTTAAGTCATTCATCATTTTATTTTCAACTTTTGCTTTTATTATTAATTAATCTATCTTATTAGTTCATATTTTTTCTTCATTTTTTCCTTCTAATTAAAAACTTAATGATATATTTTTTCTTCAATATTTAAAAAGTAAGAATTAAATTGGTGACGAAGGTGCATCAGGTTTAGGTTCTGGTCTAGCAAAATGCATTAATCTCTAAAATTTAACACTTGAACTTAGGTAAAAAACAGTTTTATTATTTTGGATTGTGATATTTTAAACTATAAAAATGAAAAAAAAATAAAAAAGCTCTTTGAATTTATTTGATATCTTTTATTTGATTTTTTTTTTTATTATTCAGCTAAAAGTATTTTATTTATTAATTTAAAGAATAATTATTAATTTAAAAGTTTATTCTATTTTGATATTTATTTAAAATTTACACAAATTTATTTATTTTAAAACTTTTAGCTTAATGAATTAATCATAAAAATTCAAAGTAATAAGCAAGTGTATTAAATCAAAAAGATTAGTTATCTTTAAAAAAGAATTCTGATGATAAACAAGTGGCAAAAAAAGGATGAATAAATATAAAATGTTGAATAA